TCACGGTAATGAATGTGCACGATATTGTTATCGTGGGCACTTCTAAATACCGTGAATAATTATATATTACAAATTATTCTGAATTTTGAATGCATTTTAAGAATACTTTTCCCATCAAACCCCATGCTACTTTCTGTTTCTGAAACATGTTTAAATGATTTAAACAGCCATTCAGAGTTTTGTATTCGCTATGGTGTTCAACACCAAATACTTAAATATTTAGACTTAATAGGCTATTTATTTTCAACAATTTTTTACATTTTAATCTGGGCTAAAACATGCCCTAGATATTGTTTGACAATGTTTTGATTCTTAATTGTTCAGTCACAGCACACTTTACATTAGGGCTTCATTAGTTAACATTAGTTAATTCATTAGTTAACATAAACTGCCAATGGAAAACTCTTCTAAACATTCATTAATCTTAGGTAATTCCAATATTTAATAGCACTTTGTTAAAATCAAAAGTTGCAACTGTGTAATTTATTGAGCTAACATGAACTAAGAGTTGTATTTAAAAAAAAAACAAAGATTAATAACTTCTGTAGCAAATGTAGCTATTGCTCATTGTGAATGTTAATGCATTAACTAAGGTTAACTAATGAGGTCTTATTGTAAAGTGATACCTATTATTGGTCTTTAAAATTATTTTGCACTTTAATCTTTGTAAAATGTTTAACTATACATTTTTGGTGTATTGCTTTATTGTATTTAAATGTTCAGTTATTTTTGTTATAAGTAAAAAGTTATTTAACCTGTTATACTGTATTATGACAACACTTGTGCAACTAAATTTCAATATCGTGATAGTACCGTATACCGTGATAAAAGCATTAGCAATTAATCGCAACATGAAAATTTGATACCGGCAAATTTGATATTTGATCCCTAGTTGGATTGCAGTAAAATGAAGTAGAAAAATGTTGAATTTATTGCAGCATTTATTTCAGTTCATTCATTTGTGCGACTGATCAATGATTGGTCAATTTGCGCTTATTGCAACCATTTGCAAATGGTTTCTTGCATCAATTTCAAAGTCTAAAAACAGCCTTGTATAAGTATAATCTTTTCAGTTTTCAGTGTTTTTATAAAATAAAAAAGCTTTTGATTTGAGCAATTTTGTGTATATATGATCTTATTTACCATCATTAAATTATATTATTTATATATCAACATTTATAATGCCAGCCTTGTATAAGGATAATCTTTTTCAGTATCCAATATTTTTTATAAAATAAAATATAATACAATTTAGTTTTAGCCATTTTTGTGTACATCTGATTTTAATTGCAATTATTAAATCATATTATTTATATATCAGCATTACAATAGTCTAACAGCCTTGTCTATAGAAAATATTTTACTGTTTTCAATGTTGTTGTAAAATAAAACAAACATAAAATATTATTTTTAGCATTTTTGCGAACAAATAATCTTATTCGCTATCATTAAATTATATTATTTATACATCAGAATTGCATTAGTCTAACAACAGTACGGTCTATGCATAAGATATAGTCAGTGTCTGTTTTCTAAAGTAAAAAATAAAAAAAACACTTTTTTTTTCGTTTCATACACATCTGATCTTACTTGCCATCAAGTAATATTATTTATATATCAGCACTGCATTAGTCTAACGAGAGCCTTGTCTATGGGTAATCTTTCTCAGTTTTCAATGTTTGTATAAAATACACTAAAATACAAAACAGTTTTTGTACATATGATCTAATTTGCTTTCATTAAATTACATACACATCAGAATTGCATTAGCCTAACAACAGTCTTGTCTATGGATGATCTTTTTGTCAGTTTTCTGTGTTTTAAAAAATTAAAACAAAATAATTGCATTTGATTTTTGCAATTTTGTGTACATCTGATCTTACTTGCTATCACTGAATTATATATATATATATATATATATATATATATCATCATTGCAGTAGTCTAATGCATAATCTACAGATAATCCTTTTAAATTTTTTATGAATAAATCAATAAGATAAAAGGTTGTTTAATTTCAGCAATCATTAATTTGCATTATTTAGCCTTCAGACCACCCTTTTTGCCAGATATTGGCATCAGCCACTAAAAAAAAAACCCCAACACATCAGTTGACAAATATGTCAGACTATAAATCTGGTGCTTTTTAATGCACGCTTTCCCCTTCAAATGCATAACAGACTGAATTACATAATTCTCTGACCCAAAAAGACTAAACCAGACAAGTAATGCAACAAACGTTACACCATGACACAATTTCTAAGATATAAACAAATGCAATTCGTATGATTCCAAAAAAATGCAGGATAACAATCCAGACCAAATATTGATGATTCATACAGTGACAGCGAATGAGACAACAGCCCAGGGGGGAAACCCTGCACGGATGGATGTCTGAGGTCAGACTGTTGCAGACATATGGCCGTCTCACTACACATTTGGCTGGTTATGAAGCGCCTGCAGTGTTCAGGTACAGCACAGCTCAGCCTTTCCTCCTCTATATCACTCACACACACACACAAAAGCACTCTTCCTGCGGCCCACGTGACTGGCAGAGCTTCGCCTGTAGTGCTGTGTAGTGGCTCTAAGTAGGCCGTTGTCTTGGAGACTGGCAGTATGGGATAGCGGCGCTGCGCGCTGAATGCTAAGAACCAAAGCGGCGCTTTCACACATGCTCTCGATGCTGTCGGCTTTCCATCTCCCACGTCTGCTCTCGCTCTCCCGCTGCTTTTATCAAAACATACAGGAATTCTTACAGTTCAACTTTTTTATACATTTTATACGACTTTGCACTCATACAGTACACTGCAAAAAGAGCCGTTAAAAAGATTAGATCAGAATAAATTAGATTAGAATAAATGCATGCTTGTTTATATTTAAAACAAGTAAAATAATCTGAATACAGAATAAAATCAAATACTGCGGGAAAAATAAGAAAATTAACACAAAATAATAAGACTTGTTTTTAATCAGGGTTATTATAGTTAACGAAAACCATTAAAAAAAAATGTGGTACTTCACATTTTCATTTAGTTTATCTTGATTTACTAAAATTGAATATATATATTAGTGCTGTCAAACGATTAATCGCATCCAAAATAAAAGTTTTTGTTTAGATAATATGTGTATACTGTGTATATTTATTATGTCTATATAAATACAAACATATGCATGTATATATTTAAGAAAAATACATGTTTATATATTAAATACATTTATATATAATATAAAATATAAGAATATGAATATATAAATGTATATACATGTAAATATTTTCAAAATATATACTGTTTATCCATCTATCTATCTATATCTATCTGTCTAGAGGATAGATGATAAGGATGTTTTGTTGGCAAAAACAAACACTTCTTTATTCACAGAACAAATAACACCTTATTATCTGTTTCCCTTCAATACACACTTCAACATTCAAGTTTCATGATCTAAGCACACACTCGCTCTCTTTCACACACAGCTTTCTTTCAGGTGCACATTTCAACGCCGCTTCAAATCCTCAAGACGCGCTCGCAGACACACAGAGCAGCTGACCGCGGCTGGAGGATTTGCCTTCAAATAAGCAAATCCAGACCGCAGCTGCAAGCAGACCCCAGAGTCCTATTTTGAGGAAACGATGGTGGTGGCAATGGCAGTGATAACACTTATTATCCAAACAGAGAAGAAGCCGAGAAATCTCACGCATCTGTGTAATTGTAGCTTTCTCTCCCGCGACTCAACCGCAGGCAATAGCCAGCGTCTTGGAAAATTCATTTTGAGATATTTTCACCATCAAATAAGTCAGGTTTTGCATTGTGAGAGATGTCGCTCTCTATAGCTTGGCCGGTTTTGATGTTCCAGCTTACATAAAAACAAAAAAAAATTGGTAAACTGATGATTTTTTAAGTATAATATTTTGAGCGTGAAATCTTGTTGGCTCATGCTCAAGCTTTCTGAGCCAAAACACAGCTGCAAACGCATGCATTCATAAATAAAGAGTCTTGTTTCTAACCACAACAGGTGGCGGAGTTTGACGTTCTATATAAGTAACACAACACGCTCACAGCTGGGAGGAAAAGCATTTGAGCTGCTGAACGCTGTCACTCAGTCAGTGGGTCAGTGGGTCTGCGCTCCACCAGCCATATCCATATTCAAGCCTGATCAACAACTGCAGACCCTCAACTCATGCTGAAAGCAAAAGCAGCACGACTAACTGATGCATTATGGAAATAACGGAACAGAAATACATCAACTGTGAATTAACAAAACACTCGTGGTAATTTTTTTATTTTTTTTTCATCAATTTCAAAGCCTAACAATAAATTAAAAAAAAACATAAAATTTATACGGTCGATCTTAGCAATTTTGTGTCCGTCTGATGTTTGCCATCAATATGTTATATTATTTATATATCAGCATTACATTAGTCTACCTACAGCCTTGTTTATGGATAATCTTTTTTAGTTTTCAAAGTGTGAATTAATTAAATAAAAATAAATAAATTATATATATATATATATATATAGTATTTATTTTATTATTAAATTTTATTAAAATATTGCTTTATTCTAGCTATTTTATGTACATCTTACATGCTATAATTGCATTATTTAAATATAAGGAAAAAAAGAAAGAAAAAAAAACATTTGTCAATGGTATGAGAACAATGTTTTGATTTTGTACTCAAAATCTAGACAAAAACACTCATTAGAAAGGTTTATTGATTGATTGATTGATTGATTAATTGCAATGTATTCTAAAAAGTTAAATTAAAACAACGTAAGACTATAAGTCAAAATAAGACTTCATATATATATATATATATATATATATGAAGAGTTAATTTGCAAAAACCGATAAACGCCACTTTAAA